TTTACATTAGAGCATCATCTTTTACACTACATGTTTCGGTTCTAAATGAACCATCTTCAGGTGTATAATCCATATAAACTCAAATGTAATATCCTAAGTGCAATCCTTCGTCAGATGTCCATCAAATATCAGAAAGTTTTCCTCTTCCAGACCTATTGTGTTATAATATCGCATTCAAGGTCGTTTCGTAATGTATATTTTAATATTTAATAATAATATTTTATTGTGATTAGACTGATAAAAATTGAACAAGTATATATTCAACACAATATGACGCAACATTATCATCTCAACTACAAGCAATTAAAATTTCGTCAGGATCATCTCTACTTATCTTTTATGAATGTTTTATGTTATTTACTGTTTATTTTCCCCCAAAATTATTTGTATTTCTTCAAAATAAGCCTCTCGAATACAGTAGTTGTGATGATCTTCACGCTCTGCCTTCATTTACCCTTAGTATAGAGCTCCAGGACAGGAACATTCCCAGCCGTTGCGTCTCACCCGTACAAATGATTTGTTTCTGCACAGCGACTGACTTTGAATTTCAAACCACTGGCGCCGAAGTGCATCTACGCCTGTGAGAGTTTCTTGGTGTTGGAGGACCTGTCTCCAGCAGGATTCAGGATGCTGGACCGGTTACAAGGACTGGACTTGGACCATTGTCTGCTGGTCATGCGCTCTCTGGCCAAGTTCCACGCAGCCTCCGTTGTTCTGCACGAAGAAGACCCGGACTCCATGAAGGAGTACGGAGTCAACTTCTTCACTGAGCCCTGCATTTATGATAAAAATAAACGATTTTTCAGGGGTAAGTGTCTTCAAAGGGACCGGAATTTTCATTTCTTTAAGACCCATTTGAATATTATACTTCCATCTACGCCTAGGTCGTCCAAGTTGTTCCTTTCTTTCAAGTGTTTCGACTAACATTTTGTACACATTTTTCCCTTTTGTGGTACATGTCCGGCCTATCTTATCCTTGACTACATTGCCCTAATATTTGTTGACAAGTTCAAGTTGTGAAGTTAGCATAGCGAAATATTCGTCGGATATTCTGACAGGTTTTTCGTTGTTTTCGTCAGCAGGCGAAGTCCGGGATAGAATTTCAAAACAGGGTTCGGTATCAAACTTCCGAACTCGTAATGTTAACAAAACAAATTTTGTTTTGTGTTTCATCCAAATGACTAAATAAAATGGTCACTGTTAACAACATACTATATGACGTAACAATTCATTTGTTGAAGTAATTAACTATAATAAAATATTAATAAATAATATACTGTAGGTAATTTTGACTATGTATGTTATTCTAAGCCACGGTGGTCTAGCGGTTAGAACGCTGGCCTTGTAATCCTGGGGTCTCGGGTTCGATTCCCGGCGGTGTCCGAATGTATAACTTGTGTTGGGCAAGGCCGTGGTCTAGGCAACACGGAGTTTTCCTCCGGGGGCTTCCCCGGTTTCTCCGTGGCATCCCAACAACTACTCCATTCACACACAGAAGAAGGCAATGGCAAACCACTTCTGGATCATCTGCCAAGAACGTATAAGAACAGGTCCCAGTCCGAGAAAAGGATGGAAGGATCCTGTTCATATGGACCTGTCGTCAGACAGAACACTAAATAATAATAATAATAATAATAATAATAATGTTATTCTACTCAAGTGTTTGCTTTGATAACTCAAGCATGTGTCTGAAATTACTAAATGTCGAACGGCGATTTGCACTGTCGAGAAACTGTTCGTCTTTTCACTCATGCAGCGATGATTAAGACTCTGGTGGAGGAAATGGAAACTTGGCCGGAAGAATGGGCTCCGTACGCCGACAAACTGAGACATGAGCAAGATGCACTTCTTCACCGACTGAAGGAGACAGTTCGGCCGAACGAAACAGGAATCAACGTGCTGGCACACGGAGACATGTGGATCAACAACATTCTGTTCAACGAACAGCGGGGAGCCGTGAGGTTCATCGACTTCCAGTTCGTCACGTATATGTCACCTGCCATTGACCTTCATTTGTTTCTTTCCACTAGCGCCACACTCGACGTGCAAGTGAACCACACGGTCACGCTCCTACAGGTGAGAGCAACTGCTCCCTCCATATTCAGTGGTTATCGTGAACCTGACGTCTCCATCCCCCACATATAGTGCCCCGGTTTATAGTGGCTGGAGTTTTGACTTGGTGTTTGCTTACTTACCTTTTCATTTTATTCAACTTTTGTTCATTAATCAACTAATTTGGCATTTTGTTTGCAGTTTCATACGATTCTCAGTGTAACCAGCGATGGTTTCCTTAGAACACCACAAAACAACGATCTCAGAAATAGTGAAGTGTTTTCTTTGGGGGGTAGGAACTGAATTTTCAAATAATATTTATATAAATTAATTGTAGCGTTTACTGAGATGGCTCCCAAATTTGAACTTATGCAGCCCTCCCGATTTAAATTAATCAAAATAACCCCATTACTGTTGAGGTCAATAAATTAATTAACTTTACAAAAATCCTCTGATTCTGCCTCAGTCCTTTACGATTTGCCACTCTAACATCTTCGCTTTTACTCTATCGATATCGAAAGGACGAGCGAGCATTGCCTGTGAACCTTTTAACAATATAATACTCATTATCCCTTTAAAAAACAATATGTCTACTCATTCCACATGGAATTCAGTGTTACCTGTACTTATTTTATGATAAATGACAGGTACATAAAGTTGCTCTATATCGTGGGATGTAGGCGTTCTTTGCGATCGGTGAGAAAGCTTTATGTAGGAGCAACCGATCAGATATCTCATCGTCGAAGTAACTCGTTTCACTTCCAATGCCAATTCGATTCTGTAAACAAGTTTCGTGTTCTACCTCTTGTTTTCTGGATTTGAAACCTGCTTTCACAGACCAGGGGAAGAACAGAATTTAGTCTTATGAAGAATTGTCGTAAAGATAAATTATATAATTTATAAAAAAAATCGATTATTTCACAGCTGAAGGGATTGTTAGTGGAATATGTAAACTCGAATACTGGAACATTAAATTCATATAGAATATTGCTTTCAGGAGTACCACAAAACACTGTGTGACTCGCTTGCTGCCCTCGGCTACACGGAGACACTAATAACTCTGGATGAATTGTACGAAGAATTCGACAGGAAATCCATCTACGGATTATTTGCAATTACCGTGGCTTCATCATTCATGATGTCTGATCCAGACTGTGGTTTCAACTTAGAGGACACCATCGAAAGGGGCTTGACGCCGGGACCCAGCATGTTCAGTGACCGCTACAAGAAGACCGTCAAATGGATGCTGCCTGTGCTCTGTCGGCAGGGGGCGTTTGGCGACGAACAACAACGTCGCCGGCTCAACGGTACCAGTTCTTTCCTGAAAGGGTATTAATTATTGTCCGCGTCAGTTGGCGTCTGCGCTCGGCGGTGGATATATTGGTTCGGTTCCTTACGAGTTGGTTTGTGTAACGATGGGGCATTACAGGTATTCACCGGCGTAAAACGTATACCGCGGTCTTGTTACTCTTTTAATATGATGACAACCAAAGAGTATTTTAAATGAACACCATATTCTCTCTGCCTGATCTCCTTTTCATTTCTTTACTTGAATCGAGAAATTTCTGGTAGAACGTATGTGAAGAATTCTCCGGTCTGGCTGGTAATGTGCCCCCCAGACACTATAATTTGAGTAAAATAAAATCATTTTTTCAATTCTATAGCTTCTGCATATTATTATTAATAAATTAATTTAATTGTATTGTCGTGCCTCAGAATTGTTGAGGGATGTAATAATATTACATTTCCGCATGGACTGATGCCTCATTTTCATCTGCCAAATCAAGCAAGAAATTTTAATTCATAATTGTACAATCTATTGACTTGTCTATGTGTGTAATTTCCAGTGTTAAACACGCATATTCCGACTGTACGCAATTCCGCTGTCATTTGTTCCTTAATTATCAGCGCTAACCTACCCGCAGTTGAAACATTCGAATGACGCATTACATTAATAATCTTGTGACACTGTGATAATCGTAATTGAATAATATTGCTGTGTTCTGTGCGTCAGCAAACATCGTACATATGACTTAAGTCATACTTAATTTATATTGCCTTAAGTCCTTCATACCAAGAATCGTAGAAAAGTTAGTGACGTGTCGCTGTTCGACTCCATGGATTTTATGAAAATTGCAAGATATTTTGGTAAGTTCTTTAATTGAATTAATTTATGTTATAACAGGAGAGAGAGAGTTTCTTGTAATTTTCGTAAATATTGAGCTTTAAATCTTTTAGCCTTATTAACCACTTAACATTCTTTATTATAGTTTTCTTTCGAAAACCTTAATTACTTTTAAGGTTCTAGTGGGAAAAGATCATTGGTAAAATGAACAAAACTTATAAAATGGGGTAAGTTATTCATTTCGTAGAGCAGATTACATGAACTAAGGCCACAAACCCATAATCATTATATTCAGTTACACCAACGTCGGGAAAACAAATGTTTGCCGTGCGGTTGTGTCACCGCTCGTTCGAGCAGGATCTACCGGGCCGTGTGCATATAATACACTAGTGATCATGGATTAGAAGTAACTGACAGGGGAAAACAGAACGGCTCTGTGGAAAACCTGTGCATGTTTCACTTGTGACTAACTACCTGAGCTATGGCACTATCGACTTAAAGGTTAAGTCTCTCCTGACCGTAGCCAGTGTCTGCACATGGCCTTGGGGAGGAGTAAGTGTGTCACGTGCGATGAAGCAGGCAGATAATTCCATTTACTTCTGTCTGAGTCTCCTGTTAAAGTTGACTGAAATTGATTCAACGGTTTAAATGTCATTACGGACGGAAAGCTCGCGTAGGAGGAAACTCTTTCTTGTAAGAGTGTCTTGTGGGCGCTCCAGCTGTATCTTCGAGTTTCAGATTATTCTACAACATTCTGAGCTCTTGGATTATTTATCGACGATGTAACAACCTCAGAGTTGTGAACAGAACAAATATGTCTGTCATCCGGGTTGTTACACCGATTAGTTTCGTAGAAATTGACTTAACATTTCAGAGACAACGTTTTAGAGGATCTTAATGCCCCTACACTGGTATTCGAAGCATTAAGCTCCTATGAAACGTCTGTCAGTATCTACCAGACTACATGGCATGTCATCCCAGAAGATACCCGTCTTTTTAGAGTAGCCGTGAGAATGTTATCTGGTCATGCCATTGACCTCTTTCCATGTGAAAGACGATCAAACTCAATAGTTCTATCTTTGTACCCCGAGGATTTTATCCCAGTCGGGTTCACAACAAGCCAACATTTACACAACATGTTTCGGTTTTTATAAAACCATCATCAGGTGTAAAATATATCTAAGAACTTAAAACTCGATTATGATTTCTGTAGTTTTTTGGTGATGTTTCATTACGTTTGTTTTTTTCCATTTTGGGCGAATAATTGAGTTTTTAAGTTCTTAGATATATTTTACACCTGATGATGGTTTTATAAAAACCGAAACATGTTGTGTAAATGTTCCCGAAATGTAAATCGATCAATCGATATGGAACATGAATGATATTTTATTATCTTAATTATAAGAAAATTTTAAATATTGTGATAAGACGGATTAAAACAAATAATTGAAGCCTATCTTTGCAGAGATGTTAAATACTCCACGCAGTTGACGCAGCGGTATTAAAATAATACTGAAGTAAAGTTTAAAATAGTCCGCAATAACGGCAACTTTCTTCTCAGTTCATCAGTTTACATCATAAATTTATTAAGAGTCGTTAAATAAACAATGAAAGCAACAAGGGATCTTCACAGCAAAGGTAACGCGATCGGATAACGTGTTGTGTCACGTGTATAGCTAACTCAGCCTTCCGAGCTGTTGTGCTTCTCCACGAGGCGCTGTTACGTGCGGTTTGATTGGAACCGCGTCTCTGACCAGTATTAATCATGATCTGTCCGGACTGGCAGGCGAACCGCACGAACCACAAGGCTGTGTGTGTGTGTACTACCAACTTGCGCGGCCCAATACTGTCACAGTGCGGACCTCGTCTGTACAACTTGCCAGCTGTTGCTCGAAGTTACACGTTACCCGAAATACAGAGGCTATTATAACTGCAAGAGGTTAAATGTGGATAAAGATTAACAAAGTTTAGTAGGGTTTCAGATACTCACGGTGGCGAGTATAAAGATGGCGGCGTTCTGTGGTGTTGAGCCTAGCATTTATGGTAGAAGTTTACGAACGTTTCAGAGTTGTTTACATCTTACTTTACCAAAATCATAGTGACTCATCGCCCTGATGTTGGAAACAGCAAGTACCTCTGAAATATCACCAAATTCCTACCAGACTACAAGGTAATGTAACAACATAATAATTATTTACTTCGAGAATCAGTACGTGTGAATGTGGGTATGATACGTGTTCATGAGCCATTGTCGTGTGGAATGAATTACCTTTAATGTTATCAGTGTGAACGTATCGTGGAATTATACGATGGAGAATTTGTTTCGCGGCGATCAGCGAGGCATTTATTGTGATAAGAAAGAAATATTTTCAAATTTACTGGGCAAGAGGTTTCCATGCTCAAGCGCTGTGCAATAAGCCTATACAAGCTGCTTCTTGCCTCAAGGTATAGGACTTATCAAATGCGAATATAAACGCACCATGACCAGACCGGTTCCGGGGTTCATCCAATTGTGTCCTTCTATCCCATGGTTATATGGGGTGATCCCTCGGGAAGATAATATAAGAATTTACTGAGCTTCGCCTCCATTCTCCCATACACCTTTATTGCGTGATGATTGAGCCTACGGAAAACCTTTACCTGTTCATGAATGTATTTATTTGTATTTACTATTTTGCGAGGACAGTTCAGGAATATCAACACTGAAACATAAGATAGTGTAATTGCGTCATATTGTGAATATTATAACAATTATTTATTTTAATCCGTCTGATCACAATATAATTTATTTAAAATTTCTTATAATT